GATACTTGGTGAAATATTAAGGATATCTAGTTAAATGACAATGCTGTTAAATAATAATAATAATAATAATTTAATAATTTTATATCGTTATTTACATACACTGATCAATAGCGGTTTATAATAAATTCATCGAAGACTAAATATGAAAAACATAGACCGGTGAAGTTTTTACATTAAGTTGTTACAATAGCTGAGTCAAGAAGTAATATAGGCATGAACAATACACAGAATATCCTCAGATAGATATAATTTTCTTAATTTTTCTAATATTATGTAAATAAAAGAATGCACTTCTGCATGCCTTGGTGTTATGTGTAGGCATGGACATTCCTAAATTTCAAGGGCAGGCAACAAAGTAATGTTATTACCACCAATGTGTAAACAAATGTTGTGATCTAAGTTATTTAGCTGATACTGTGTCCCAATTAAGGACAGTACCTACTAAATACAAAGGTTTTTGCACCAGGTTAGGACTACACGGAAAAAGTAGATCTTTGCAAGGGCTATCGGAATCCACAAAGAAAAATGGGGGTAGCCACAAATTTTTTCGAGATAATTAGCCTTGAGTATCCACAAAAATGCTGACATCAGCATTTTCTGAAAAAAGAAGGAAAGGATATTTCTTCACAGATTTCCTTCGAATTCGCCTTTACAAACAGAAAAGCAAACACATTTATAAAGATCTTACAACTGCATGGTAAATGGTAACATAAAAACCATTTTTTGTATGTTTTAAATAACAAAATTGTTGCAACAGCGCTTTTAGCGTCTCTGACAGCCTCCCTCTGGTTCAGCTAAAATATAATACCGTTTGCTCACAACCAGAAACTAAACATGTGTTGAATAGGCTTGCCACTTCTATTCCACAACATAAAATGTGGGGGTAACCACGCATTTTTTTAAAGTTATTGATCTTTTTTCAAAACTGTTATGGTACCTGTTACATTTTTTTCTGTCACCTCCCCAGTAAGTAAAACATTTGCATATTTCGCACTTGTTTTGCGCGTGCACTATGCCCTCTGCGGATCTGCAGGTACATGTTTACAGTTCGATTTCAGTATAATTTCCCACAAACCCAGCTAGATTTTCAGCTGGATGACATTAACAGTTAGTGGTTAGCGATATGCTGCTATTTTGGTGTTCCTTGTTTAAGTAAGGGCTCATTAAACTTGATTTGGTCAAAGTAGGAAAAATTTGCTTTCTTTTAGTCGTGTACTTGGTAGCGTAGTTGATTGCGTCAATGTCTACCCCAGCGCGTGCGTGGCGCTTAAACCATGCCTTGCGTGATGCGCAGAAAGTATGTGCACTAACAAAAGTAGGCACCGTCCTTAATAACACCTTAGTTTTGTCATCATTAAGTAGCAGTCTATCATTAATCATCCAGCTTTGAATATCTGCAATACACCTTTCTACAGCCCTCACTCCAACATCTTGACTGACTTGGCCATCTGGCTTGAAGCTTAAATGAAGCTGAGTGTCATCA